ATATATATATATATATATATATATATATATATATATATATATATATAGTAGGTTTCCAGTAACTCTCCACAGATCAGTCTCGGCTCTCAGTTCGGTATTTTCCCCCCAATTGTCCTCTATTCAAAAAGTCCAGACCCAATGTGCATAGTTAATTCTGCAATCTGTTGTAGTGGGGTATTTCCCCCCTCTCTGTTATGGGTGGGTGGCCTGTTTCAATCAGGCATTCATCAGGATCAGCCAACAGCATGCAAAAGATGTTCTGATTTCAGAGGAAATAAATCCATCTCCGAAACCGAGTGAGTGAAGAAAATTAAAATTAATAATAATAAGACGAATTCAATTCAACAGTTGGAGTAGCGTCTCTTCAGCCTCCCTTCTGCTGTTGCTGCATTTGCTGGGCTCCCAACCTTCTCGCTCTCTCCCAGTGCCTCTTGCTGACTGACTCTATTCACCTCACGCCGCTGCTTAAACATTGATACTGATTCCCTGCCAGCCAATCAGTGTTAAGAAGAAGAACTTGCCTCCTATTCCAGCTTCCAATGAAAAAGAGCTAAAAGGCTTGGGGAGGCGGTGCTAGAATCCCCAATGCTTCGGTGTCATTGATTAGATCAGTTAGATTGGAGACTAACAATGTGAGAAGGGCTTGTCGCTTGTAAACTGCAGCGCCTCATTTCTACACTGCAGAGTCTCTGTGGCCTTTTAACTACATATAAAAGGCTTTCTCTGTGGTCTTCCACTAGAAAACGAGGGGTGGGGGGTGGTTGAAAGCAATTTAATTTTTCTCAGTGTCAAAGGTACACAGGAAAGCGGAATCCCAGGGTGTGTGTAAGATTCGGAACCTTGCAGTAGATGTTGGATTTTCTATTAGATATCTATTTCTCTAACACACACACACACACACACACACACAAACACTCACACAGACGCATGCACAGACATTCTCAGAAACACACATACAGACACCCTTCTTGTCCACACTTCAGTTGTCTTAATGTGGCTTACTCTGAAAGCAATGCAGCTATACGTGTGTGAGCGCGCGTGACTGCACGCGTGTACGTTTGCAGCTTGTAACAGAAATCAATATGCAACTTTCTTCAACCTCGGGGAAAATCGGCTGTCCCCTTATGTCCGTGCAATAAGAGTCAGTCTATTATTAAAGTGTTTTAGAAGAAAAGATGAACCGCAGTGATAAAGTATACCGTATCAGCAATGTAAAACCGCCTCTCTTTTAAAGAGACACACTCATCATCGATACCAGAAGCTTAGACTAACACAAATTAAATCAGGTTTATAATACTCAGGGGCCAACGCCCCTCGGTTACCCCTATTTTAACCTAAGGATCAACAAACAGCGATTTCCCTCTTAGGTTTCCCGATGACCAGCGCCCTCCCCGCCCCCAGACATTAGCTACCGGACTTTTCCCTCAACCCTCCTTTTAAAACCTTTACAACGTAATTTCAACTTGTCTTCGAAAGAGCATATAACCTTTGGTGCTCATTTTGCAAGTAGCTTCTACATTATTCCTGCATCTATTTTTCAAATGATAAAAAGGAATGTAAACCCCAGTGAAAATAAGTTTCTCTGCTCGTAGCTTTGGAGTGAGAGCGCTTTGGGTTGTTTTGATATTTTCTTTAAGCCTTCTGTTTTCTAAGTAGCACCACGGTTAAAAAAAAAAATCCTGCTTCATTTCATCTCACTTCTCTACGACTGTGCTTCATTCCCGAATCATGGAGACTGCCTCGCTTTCCAAACTCTTCGAACATCAACATGTGGGGACTGAGAGATGCTGAATTTGTCTGAGATGCTGCCATCCTGGGGAAAGGTTTAGTGGAAAAAGAAAATTGGAGTATTGAAATAGAAAAAGGTGAGTGTTTTGATTGCGGCAGTATTGATCTGGATTCATAAATATAAAGTTGAGTTGCATTTATAAATTGTGAATAGTGAATGTACAAACCTGTAATGTGAATCATTCAGGATACAAAGAAAACCAAATCCAGACCTATTACAAGTAAGCTATATATGCCTACATACACACAGATATACATATACATATACATACACACATATATGCATATTATTCTAGGAAGTATTGTTTCAAGGTTCAGGTAAAAAGAGTTGTTTTTGTTTTCTTTTCTTTTAAATTACTCTGAGTGCTTTCCTTCAAAGGGATAACCTTTAGCCTGGAGTTAGAGTCAGCATTATGTCCATCCATAAATACTAGGGAACCAAGAGCTCCTCTGATGGTTTTAGAAATTAAAATCGGTACTCTTTGTAGTAGGATTTCAAGTCCTAAGGTGTCAGTGTTTTCAAAATGGGTAGTTTCTCTTGGGGTAGGATCTTGCAGCCAATCATCAGGAATGCAATGCTTTGTGAAAGCTGGGCTTGTTTTGCAGATAAGTTGGATGCACGAGTTGCCTGTAAAGTATAATTGAAGGACATCAGGCACTGTGTACTTGTACCACAAAGGTGGAAGATGTTGTTTTATAGATATTAAAATCACTAGATAATTTCTTAATTATAAAAATGGATGGACTAAATACAACTTAATTAAGTAATTGATTTCTAAGTATTCCAAATCTTTTACTTTTGGGGGCTGCACTACAGTAGTTCAAAGATAGTCATAGGAGGTACTTTAGATAGTCACACACTCCCTTATTATTTGTGCTCTCCCTCCTTTATAGCAAGATATGGAAAGGCATGTATGTGGTTAAAAATGAGCTGTTAAATAGTTGTTAAACCCAGGAAGGCTAAGTCCCAGAGGACAGCTAACAAAATGGCATAGTGTTATGTGAATAGGCATGTATATATGTACATATACTCATATGTGTATGTGTATGTAAAAGCCCTTATGTAATTATGCCCTTACTCCCTCTAGTGTATTGAGCAGGAATAGTGTGTATTTATGGCATATGCTGATAGAAGTGGGGCCAACTGGCGAGCAAATTAGATTTATACTAAATATGCTACACTTTCTATCTAATCTGTAGGAATGAAGAAAGTTTGTTATGTACTAAAATGAGTTTCCCTCTTCATCTACTTGTTTTACTTTATTTTAAAGGGAAATTTTACTTTTTTTGAAATGGTAGTTGAGAATTAGTGGCCTCCTTCTGTGAGTTCTCTCTTATAGTTATTCCTTGCTTGAAAATCATATCTTAAGCTCTGCCTTCTTTTCCCTAACAGGTGATTTCTCCTCATAGGACTTTCAGGGATGATTCCTGAGTGATTACTCTTGATTACTTTAGTACTATACATTTCTCAAATTCTAAGATTCATGGAAAATGTGTGATGAAAATATGGGCATGTAGTCTGATTTCCTCATTCCTCCCTCACTCCTAAAAGCATAAATTGGGTTTGCTAGGGACAAATTGTAGTAGAATGGCAGTTTGCATATGTATCTAACTCTTGATTTAACCCCATACAATCTTATGTAGCTGAATTTACACAGTTACAAACAGAGTAGACTCAAACTGATTAGTAATAATTACAAACAAATGGTTCAGCACTCTAATGAAATTATATTACCACCATTGTTAATATTTATTGAAAATCCAAAGAGTCCTGGGTGATTTACACAACATCAATGCATATACATGTTCATTGAGAATAAACAGTTTAGAGTTTCTTAGAAGAAAGCTGCTATGCAAATGAAAGTGTTTTGTACGTTAAAATATTATGCTAATCTGGGGGAATTTTCAAGTATGGATTGTTGACGTGTTAAAATTGCTTAGACTAGAGAGTAAGTAAAGCTTCCTTTTTATGCAGGCTCTTATATTTAGATAACACAATTAATACCCCTCCCATTACTTTGATTACTGACACTAATATGGTGAATGTTCAATGAAGCAATATTCTCCCCTCCCAGGGGAAGGTGATGGGACTTGTATTTCTATGCAAAATAATTTGAAAGAATATGTTTCCTTGGGGAGGATGGGGGAAAGATTGAGGTGGTATTTCTATACAGAATTGTGTTGCTTTTCTGAGTAATTGAATTAAATGTTATGCCCCAGACAGGCACTTCATAAATACGCAGTGAAGAAGTTCTGATGATATGGTCCTAGTAGCCTTAATAGCAACAGTAGTAATATGATTCAAAAACTTGCCCTCCTAGAGTTCTTCCGAAATAAGATGTCTTTCTTGAAAGAGGATGTTTGGTGCCAGTTTATTTTTCAAGTCAGCTAGTACCCTTTTCCATTTAGCTGAAACTATGAAGAGTGAAAAATAATGTTATGACTGAAATGTAGTTTCTTCCTTATTTCCTTCCTTGCCTTATCTCCTGTTAAAATTTCACCTCTTGAGAAGGGATTTGATTTTCTTTTTAAAGGAGCTTTTCCTAATACTTAAATAGTCTGGGGTTTATAATTGTCAAAAATGTGTGTAATCATTTCACATCAAATACTAGAATGACTGAAATGTTTTGGTAGGGTAATCCTGAATGTTATTAGGTTCAATATTTCCTTTCGTCCATCATAGACAATTTTTAGAATTTTCTGTACTTCCCTGATAAACATGAATTTTTCTTTTTTGGGGGGGCAGTTAAATTAAGTCCTTTTTTCTTGACAAGTGATCATGTCACTGGTCTCACCAGGACAACTGTTAACATGAGTTACTTTCTCCTTAAGGTTATATTTTAATTATGATAATAGATTACACTTAAATGCAACTTTTAAGGAAAATTATATCACTTTAAATTAATCTTAGAGGTATTCCCTCTTTAAATAATTTCCTCTTCTAGCACATGCACACATGAGCACACATACATACACACACACACACATACACACA